CTAGAAGATCTGCATGTATTTAATACGATTAAATTTATAGTGGGTTCGGCTAACGGGAATAGACCGGAAGGTTGTTTAATTTTATTTATAGGACAAATTATCAATGGTCCAACTGTCAAAATTTTTAAAATACTAAAAACAAAGACGACCGATCGATTAGAATGGACAACCGGAGAGAAAAAAAATAGTAATAATTTATGTCGAAAACAATACTTATTATAAAATTAAATTATATTATGTCACGATGATTGCTATTAACTTTTAATTAATTTTTCACTCAATCAGTACGATATACGTCTTTGGCGACAGGTTAAAAGGAGATAAGTCATTTTTTTTTTCCAGCGTTTAGGGCGGGCAACTGAAAGTAATAACACCAATAATAATCTAAAATATAATACATAATTTTTATGTAGAATAAAAGAGAAAACGTAACATTTTTTTTCCCATCGAAAATTGGCTTTAAATTGGCATTTAAAGGCTAGTTAATAACTTAACCGGTTTAGTACTCATCGTGTAAAATCGACATTTTTATATTTAATTACCATACGAACAGCGTCCGGTTAAGTTCACATACGTATAGGTTAAAGAATATATGTTTTTTACGTAGAAAAAAAAAAATGTAAATTTAGAAAAAGTAACATAATAATAATTAAGACGCAAATACGCGGCGAAAACGTATAAAATTAAATTTTTGTGAATATCGTTTGTATATTTGTATAAGATGCACGCAATGGCATATTATATTGACTCGTCTCGTATAATATCGAAAATATATTATAAAAAACGTAATAATTTACGCGGTAATTTAATAAAAAAAAAAAAAAAACAACTTTCTCGCGTTACAGTGACGATACTTGAAGACGACTCCTCGGAAGTATGTTATATTATTATATCGTTACTTTTTTCTTAAACACGGTGACCAATTTGGTAGCTGTACCTACCATCGGACGATTTTAAATTTCTAAAACCAACATTTTCCACTATACCAGATATACCTATTTGAGTACATACTCGTAGTAATAATATTATTTTGTGCTCTCGTTTTATACGTGACTAGTTTCGAACGCGCATCTTCGTCGCGGCGGTAAAAAATACTCTAAACTGCAGGAATGTAATGGCTACAATAATATATTACAGATAAATTTTAATGTCATAACGATTAATATAGTGTAGAATATATTATATTTTCGACAAATCGGACGTCTCGTTAAAAACAGGTAAGAGTAGACGCGTACACTTGTTTTTGTTGGAACACGAGCGACTAGTTTACACATGTTCTATTTTGTTTTATATTTTTTTTTTCACATGCCAATCAAACTTACATTGAACATTTTGTTTTTTTTATGAATTTATTTCCTTACCTTTTTATGGGACCAAAAACGTACTATTAATATCATAGTAGTATAATAATACATAGTAATTAGTCTTGTTAAGTATTTGAATAATTTAAAAATACTTTTGTTCGTATTACATTATTACAATGTGCTCGTGTATAATGGTTTTAGATTTTGAGCGTAGCGAAGAATGTATTAATTGTACTACCTATTTTATGCATGCTATTTATGTTTTATGCAATTTTTTTACGAGGAATCTTGCTCCAATCAAAAATACAACAAGAAGGTAATTTTTTTTGATGTTCTTCTTCTCGTGATATTGTGTTTCTTAAAGCTTAATAATGTTCCCAAATTTTTTTCAGATTTGTTAAAGTTGCGAGCATCGATTTTAGGAAAAATTTGAGTTTTTTTTTTTATTTATGTGTACAAATAATAATTTTTAAGGAGAGATCAGTGTATCAAAAATTATCATAAGAAAAAAATAAATTTACCAATTTTTTTTCAAAATAAATAATCTAAATTTTACCCCTCGATAAGATTTTTTCTTTATTTTTTAAATTGAACGCGAAAAAAATAAAACCACCCTCTTAGGATTTTTTTAAATCTCATATGGCACGGGAAGGGGATGTTTTATTACAACCAAATTCAATATTCAGTCAACTTTCTTTTTAATGAACAATTGTGAGGGGATACAGAACTGAAAATTCTAAAGTTCATACACAAGGACCACACCATGTATGCACCCGGTGCACGCACATGTTGAGACACTCTGTATATAACTTTGTAGCCGACGTTTAATGACGTTTTTATTATTCATATTTTTCACCAAAGCGTTTCGTTTACATTTGAATACATCGTAACAATATTATAATACGAGCATAGTATATAGGTGTTCGCCATTATTATAATATCAGTATATCGTTTTATAAAATGCGTAGACGCAATGAATTTAAAACGCCGAGTCGTTGATTGTTCAATTTAACATTATTATTATACTATAATATATACCTGATATTATTACTGTTGTAATACTGTCCATACAAAATGAATATTATTAATCGTGTGTACGATCGATTTAAAATTTAAACCATAGCATGCGTTTTATTGGTATATGTGCACAGTATACGCGCGTCAAAATGTTATTACCTATATTATACATCGTATAATACGGCACGTGAAAAACGGTCAATAATATTATGATTACCTATTATTATTATTATATGACATTATAATGTCAATTATTCATTGGTGTGTCACCGCGTATTTCAAATATCTTGGCATAACAATAACTGAAAAAAATAAACGATATAGCCAAAGAGCCGGTTTAGCCGCTCGAGAATACTGGCGGGGAATAGGCGCTACTGTACAGACTAATGAAGTTATCAAGTTCACGATCATTGTCAATAGAAATAAAAAAGTAGTTTTATAAGTATTTGACTGACCTGCAGTAAAATTGTATGGACCTAAGGTAAAAAAAAAAAAAAAACTAACGAAAATACATTTTATTTTTGGTAGATGCTTGAAGAACAAATATCTCGGAGAATATTTGGACCGGTAAAGGATAACATAATCAAAAACGCAGCGGAAACAAAGAACTATTCAGATTACAACTGTAGAATACCCGCCAATACGCATATTAGCTCATTTTTTTGTAGGCACATATACTTAAAAGAGAAAACAAATCAAATTAATTAATTAATAGCATATTTAATCTACACCGTATACAATTATTTAATAAATAATATTATAACGCTTGTAATACCAATTAATATTTAGTTACAATATTGAATATAATAATAATAATTTTAATGATCGCATCATATTCACATCTTTATAAACTTATTTATTCTTACATTTTGAGCGGGGCGAGGAATGTATTAGTTTTACAATAATGTTTTTTTTTTCTGCGGACAAGTTTTCTACCAGAAATTTCCCTTCAATTTTCAATGATAGCATTTTTTGTAAGGAAATCGAATTGGTGAGGTACTTTAGGGAGGTGGTTTTTTAATTTTCACGGAAGTTTTCTTAATAAATGGGAAAAACGTAACACGTTTACACACCTATAATATAACTCACTAATACTGCACGGTCAATTTTATTATCAGATATATTAAGAAATGTAAAATGTCAATTTCACGAAAATTCACTTCTTTGTGGTTACTGCATTTGTCACTACAAGGGCAGGTGTATATATATATGTATTACAGTTGTAAGCATAATATAATATTTTGTACTGCAGGAACGATAATATTGTCGGACGTGATCAGAAATAAATCAAACCGATCGTACGTCCGCATAGCATAATAATAATATTGTAATTTATAATAACGCGCGGGCACGTCCTTGACCCTCGAGTTATGTCGCTTCTCCGCCGTATAAACCCACCTACCAATATTATAGGTTTGTACCTGCTACAACACCTCTGCGTACATGTACCGGCGGCGGTTCTCATCGAACCATTATCGGGTCGTGAACGCTCGTCTTTGTAGGTCACACGCGAGCGCGCGCGCGCGAACGGGTCAAATGTCAATCGGCGTGAATAATTTTTTTCCTTCCGAGTCTCCCCTTCCGCGGCCGCACTGCAGTCCCACCCACTACTGCGTCGTCGGGTGTGCCACATACTATTATTGTCAGGTATACCTATATTTCTACGTATATATATATATATATCGGAACCGAGACGAAAAACAACAACAATATTATTATTTACCATTTTGGTCACCGTTGGGTGACACGCGGCCGCGGGGCGGAGACTTGAACGCCCGCTATCATCGACGTCCGCACGGTATTACACCGTTCCGGCTATAATAATATTATAATATAGAGATAATTACGTATTATATTCGGCCATCATGATTTTAGCGTAAATGCAGTAATATCTGTTATTTCGGGATGACAATGATTATACCTGCTGCAGGTGTATAGTATTTTAATAACAATGTACAAAATATGTTGTGTACCATTTTTCGAGTTACCATAATTCCGTGTTTAACAATATCTAGGTATATTATAACAATAATGTAACAACCGCGTACGTATTATAGTAATCAATAATCATCATAACATAGTAACTTCAATATCCGGGTGATCTTACAACGTCTCCGTTATAGTAAAATGCATTAAGCATGTCGACAAACATCGACTTCAAATTGAATAATATTTACAAGTGTAACAATAGAAAATATATAATGCTAGGTCAAAGTAGGTATTCCGAACACTGATGGACGACGTAGAAATTATCGGTTTAAAATACTCCAATTCTTCCTGCATTGGCCGTACGAGAATGCCCGCGGACAAATTGAACTCGGTTGAAATTCATGTGGGCAAAGTGAACTGAATTCAGCATCGATTATATTGATTGACCTTTAATAAGTAACAATGTGGTCACTATATTTGCAAAACATTATCTAAAAGTCGAAAATGCAACTGTTAGAGTTCCGGTAGATTTTGTAACCCTGAGTGTTCCCATGTATGTACAAATAAAAACACGTAGGTCCAATAATAAACAACATATTTTATTTCTTCACGTCAAATAAACTTTATACACAATACACATACATGTGTTGTAGATAAATTAATATTAATATAAATTCTCCATTAGTACCAATAAGTTAACAAACAAAACGAAGAATACATTTTAAAAATAACATTTTTGTAACTTTGTTTATTAATTTATATTTCGTAAATATTTAGTACTTTAAAGTTAGCTACTCATTATGATATATACTTATAGTTTATAAGAACAAACACATAGCTACACCATGCATAACGCCTTATATCGTTGTTGTGTCCGTCCGTCCGTATAGTTACTAAAATAATTGTGCATATAGTTACGGTTGTTGATTTGGTTGAAAACGATATTTATATGTATATTAGTATTCGTAGCATTATTATTATCATCATTATTTAATTAAATATGTGTATTAAATATAAATCCATAATAGCTAATATTTAAAAAAAGAAGTGATACTGTTGGCGCGCCACTGTTATGGATGGGAAATTGGATTACAAACCTATCAACTACAACAGTAAGGTACAAAAAGTTATTTCAATTGATATTTGTAAACAACGATAGACTATTTCTAACGAAAAACGATTCTGAGCGAAGCTCAGTTATACATGTTTTGAAATACTGTAATTTTTACGATTTTCATCAAAATTTGAACTCAACACCTTCATATACAACAAACTACTAAATTACATTCTTCTTTCTTTTTTTTTTACCACTAAGTACAACTTATAATTAACTTCCTGTTCAATATTCCAAGCATTCATATTTGGTTAAACAAATATATCTACATAGTATACTTAGATACCAAAAAAAAGCTACCTTAAAAAACTTACAAACATAAAATGCCTATAAATAGCTCAAAAGTATAGAAAGGCTAGTTTAATGTAAAAAAAGTCAGGTCTTGATTTTAAGTGAAGAGAATGAAATTTATTTTAAAGCCTCCTCCCATTTCAAAAAAAAAAAAAAATCTTGTACACGTTCCTGTATGCCACAATGCCTGATTTCCTACTTTAACCGGAACATTACAATACATTATATTTTTACATTATTTTGTTTTATACTTATAATTATTAACCTCTAAAACAATATTTTGTTCAGTTATAAGTGCTGTCACAATACGAGTTTTAGATTTAAAAAGTTGATAATATTCCAAACACGATTTCTCTGTGACAATTGACATTTTGAAGTTTCTGCGGTTTTTGCTATGCCGTACACTATTACGTTATGCCGGGTGAACAGTGATCATTTCTTCATCACGAACGGGCGATTATCTACGGAGATTTTTAGAAAAACTGATTTTGACAGACATTAAGAGGGTGATAAATAGATCACTCTGTATATGTACAGTAGACGCTCGATAATCCGGCAAATATCAGACCAGAGAACTGCTGGATTAATGGAAGTCCACATAAAAACGCATTTTTACCTATTGAAAAACCTTGATTTATTTTATTTAAACATACAAAGAATACATACATTCTGAATTACGCCAATATAACACAATAACTAACTGATACACAATAAACACGCTCAACACGTCAATGTTAGTTGAATACAAATAAAATATCTAATCGGTTCATTTGGACTTAATAAATTAATTTTATCGTTTACGATAGTAATTTTATGGTTATTATAACGAAAAAATAGCCGGATTACTGGACGTACCGGATTATCACACGGCTATATTACCGAGAGTCTGCTGTCCATATAATATTTATATTATGTGGCAAAAATCGCAAATAGCAATATTAAAAATCGACGGTATAATGCAACCACCATTGAATTTTAACGAATCGACTACGCCCTTTAAAACGTTCGAATGTATTCCGGATTTATTTTTAAAAACATTCCACGGGACCATTCGAGCGTTCGCCTCCAAATCATTGGCGGTTTTCAATATTATTCTGGGAGGGTTCTTGAAAAACGTATTTGTATTCAAAAGTATCTATTAATAGAATCCTGTTTTTTTAGACGATTGAAATTTATAACATGGTCTGGGGGGGTCCGGACCCTCGTAAATCTACCACAATTCTAAAATAAATTTGTATGTATCGATTACGGAAAAAGAAGAATAAATATATGGCAGCTTTATAACACTAATATATTATATTGAAATTGATATATTTTTAAAAAGAACTTGGGTAATTGCTATTTCCGCTGAACTAGTATAGACACATCAATAGATCACGCGTTTTCATGTTAACATTTTTTTTTCCAGAATTTAACCGAAAAATGTCCAATTTTTGATTTTTAAGATATAAAATATAATAAATGTGAACACCCTATTATACCTATACCGCGGTCATTGGATAAACGACCGTACGGTAATAACGGGTAACAAGGTCACACAGCCGTTAACCGGGATTGCGTACAGATCTACGTATTCAATCCGTATATACATTATTCGCAAATTACAATATTATTATATTTCTTTTATAGTGTGTGATGCGAGCCTAAAATATTGTGTCCCACGACACACTTTGTATCCCCTAAACATCATAATGTGTCCCTTGAATTATAAATGTGTGTCCCAAGTTTTATAACGTGCTTTTAGTTTTAATTATAGAAATAACAAACGATTTGGAATTTCAACACTAATAAATCTTGTTTATTTCAATATAAATTAATAACAACTTTCTCGTTATCAATACCATAAACTTTAACCGTGGTCGACAATAATAAATATTATACAACCAAGATGTACTATCTTTAATCGTGAATATAACGAATATACCTTGTGTCTTATACCTTCTATGTACTATGCAGGTAATCTTGAATTTGTGACAACAGTTTATTATAGTTATTATTGTTTTGACGGTGTGTTCATGTAACTATTAGTAAAATATTTTGGACTTTCACTAATATTTAATTTTTTATATTTTTAGTTCAAATGTGATATGAACAGATAATATAAATATGTTAGGTAAGTGGTACATAAAAAGGGGGAAATTTCGGGTTTTACAACCACCACAGGAATTTTTTGCTATGGAAACCTGTACAAAATTACAACTGCACAAAGAAGTGTGTTCCCTGAAATCAGATGTATTTTAGGCCCTCGTGAGATGGACAAATCAATGTGTAAATGGCCTAAACCTGGCCCACCTAGATGCACCAACAGCACGGGGTTATAATTGTATGTATTATCGTGTCTGCCAAAAATCATCAAAGTTAAAAACGAACAAAAGTAAGATCATATTATAATTTGTTTCAATACAAACATTTAGTGAAATTATACTTATATATTTGTCAAGGCAGAGACAGTTAATGTATATTATTTACTGAGTTAAACTATGAAAGAACTGAAAAAAGTTAACAAGTTAATTTTTTTGTTAATCGTTTTTTTAATTAACTAAAATTCTATGAACATTTTAATTAACTTATTAACTTAAAATTAAGGTAATTTATGTTAATGGTTGTTGAATCATAATATGAATGGAACCATTTTTTTTATATTATACAGATGATACGTTAATTTTAGTTAAAGCAGTATGAATAATGAGTTAAAGAAATGATCTATTTCTTGTTTAGAAATAGTTAAAAGTTGGCTAGATAATAACATGTTAGAGCTTAACTTAAATAAGTCCAGGTATGTATACTTTCGTTTGTCAAATGTATTTCTTTAATTTTTTGAACGTCTAGTAATTCATAACTTTGACTCTTTACAATCAAATAATTGTTCATGTTTAGGTATTCAACATTTAGATATAATATAGTATTTGAGTACTTTGGCGAACAATTTTAATGGTAAAATTATATACAGCATATTACCGTCTTAATTCGTAAACTTATAATATTTTTAGAAAGCTAAGGTATATTCTGACTCGTTTGTTATTAAAAATAGTTTATTTTTTACTTGCGCAGTCAATTGCTAGTTATGGTATAGAAATCTGAGGCGGAACATACAATATTCATATTGTATGCTCAGAGATTTCGATGCGTTGGTTAATCAAAATAATCTTGCAAAAGCCAAGGTTTTATCCGAAAATTATTCTGTTTTGTAGTTTTAAGGTATTAAACTTAAAAGCCCTTTATTATAAAATAATAATAATAATAATAACCTTGAATTTTTTTAAAACTGATGTAGTGATTTTTAAACCACATGATGTTCACAAAACACGCTTAAAAACTTTGAGTAATTTAAATTGTATAAAAGTTGATAAAAAATGTGTGAAATTCAATACTGTCAATGAAGAATGTGATTTATGTAGAAAGTTAAATATTAATATTACTAGATTTAAAGCGAAATAAATGTTAGTTAACTATATGTATACCTTAAATTTAAATAACTTTAATTTATGGTAATATTCGTTTATTTACTTAATTTAATTAGTGTGTAGTTAGCTTTTATCTGTTATAAGTTTCCTTTAATAAGTTACAATTATACTTTTTGAACTCGCTTACACTAAGCACAAGCCTTGTTTTTTGGAGGAGTAGTCATTTATTTATTTATCGTTTAAACTATTTTAGCGTAACTTTACATTTATTGTGCATTTAATCTAAACTTGTATATATTATAATAACATAATGTATTTTATTATTATTATTAATTTGTTTTTGATTTTTATAAACTGTTATTGTCATAGCGAAAAGAATATCGAAATCCAGAGTTTGTAGTATTTTGTAAATATATATACATAATTTGCATCATTTAGGTACTTCACAAGAGAACTTTCCAAACTTCTCGATCTGCATCTTCAATACTCGCTCCGTTTCTTAATCTCTCTAAATCATTTTTCACTCGATCTATCCACCGTTGTCGTGGTCTTTCATAGGTCGTTTTTTATTTGACTTGCTAATGAGAACCTGTATAGTCAAACCACCCTCTGCACACCATATAATATATATTTGGTCATGTTATGACCAGTCCACTCAAACCTTTTCGACCTCAGACATTTCTTTTTATAAATAAAGATGATGAAATAATAAACCTATGTCAAACATGGTCGTTTATTCTAAAAATATCAAATTAAACTAATTTCAAATTCGGGCCGCCGTATATTATTGAATGAAAAAAAAACATTACTTCAACAATTATATACTTTTATGTAAAAGTATATTCATATAGATAGCTAAATAGTTAATCTGAATTAATCCGAACTGTAATTCGGATTTCAAATTAAACCGGATTATTAATCCAGAATAAGTGATCAGTTCCAACCCTTTTAAGTCAAAACAGCTACTTTACACAGTTCAGACAAAAAATAACTACTCGAGACCTTTATAGCGTTTACTTTTTATGAATTAATTTTTTTCTCATAAAGAAAACGCCAATTATTTAACACTTTTAATATAAACACCGATAAAATCATCATCACTAAAATAGGAATTTTACAATAATAAACAGTTTTTCCTCGACAATAATAATTTATATTATTTACGCCCACTACTATTTTATTTCCAGTTCATCCGAAATTTAGAAAGTGTCACGACCCGACAAAAATCGCCTAATCTTCACGTAAAGAAAAAAAAAATACATAATTAAAGAAAGTTAAACGAAGTCGAAGGCGTGGGACACACTATACAGGACACGTCATATAATAATTGGTACCTACTTGATTTTACTTTTAATAATGTAATCTGATTCATATATAGGCACCTAAGCTATTTCCGTTTTAACGATATTATTAATATAAACTTGCTCTAGCTGTCGATGCGTTTTATTAAAAAAAACTGCGAAAGTTAAAATAAAGAAATTTTTTTTAACTACATTAAAATAATTCACACGTACTACATTTTGAATTTAAAAAAATGATTGCATTACATTTCCAATTAAACGTGAATCCGATTATTAATTAGGATTTTTTTTTTTAAATTTATATATATGTATTCTGTATGTAGTTCTGCGCATACATTTTTGTGACGTTTGGAGTGATTTGTCAACTTGTTCACAAGATATTCCGCTTTTAAGTTTAGGTGGGGAGACATAGTGGAGCCTAATGTATGTAACTGCACAGCGCAAAGTGTTTAAATAATGATCGACTACTTCTCCCACTGCCTAAACTTAAAAATGAAATATCTCGTATATTAGTTGACGGAAATCAAAATTATAAATAACAAAATATATTTTAACTATTATTTCTTTTATATGTGGAGTTTTTTTTTTATATAGATTTCTTATTTGATAAACCAAAGTTGGTTTAACCACATAATACTCCTTAAATGTTGTGAAAAATCGAAGTACACAAAAATTTCGTTTTTAACTACATTTAAATATCCCAAAAATCTAGATTTCAATATAATATACATAATTTACCCCCAAAAATGTAATAAAACTACAATCGCTTTTTACACTCTCCGAACAGACGGCGCATTACGTTCGCAACCAAACCGTCAGGTAGCAGCTCTTACATCCGACTGTCACTAGATAGAGGCACTCGTGACATTATTTTATACAAATTTCGTTTTATTATGTTATAGTCGACACAAATTATATTATAAATGGTTTGTGAACACATAATTTTATACTGTGTACGTTAAAACCTAATTTTTTTTTTATACAAAATGAAATTCTCGTGGGGTGAACATTGAAAAAATATCAATATTCTGTTGCTCCGTCGATCGACAGATAAAAAAAAAAAAGTATACATTTTGTATATAAAAGACAAAGAATCCGAAGCACTAATAGTTAAAACATTAACACGCGTCGTCAATCACAATGCATTAGAATATTTCAGTGTTGCACACCCATAGAGGAGAAATTTTGATTATGGCCAGTCCGTAAAGGAAATAAATAAAAAAAATATTGGTTTTTTTTCTAAAGTTTTCGTATATTATTATTATCTATACGAGTATAATATTATAGCCGTGTAAAAAATTATTGGAAAGCCGATGGGCGCGCGCGAGCTCTCGTGTGTGTGCGTGTGTGTGCGTGCGTATGCGTGGTTTTTTTTAAAACAAACTTTCCCTGTATTTTACGATTATTATTATCGTATACAGTGTTGTGCAGTTGTAGCAATGTTTTCATATATATGTTCGCTTATATTATTATTATCATTTGAATGTGACCCGATTCGAATACCCGTTCTGCGAACGCGAAACTACTGACCGAGCGCGAACACATACCTACCTATATTATACACGATGCCGTCTAAAAATAGATGCGTAATGATATTGTCGTTTATATTTCAACAGCACGGGATTAAAAACAGAAAAAAAAAAAAAAAACTAGATAATTATCATCGACAGTGATAGAATAACGGTTTCAGACGATTTTTCGTTCAAAACTTTTTTTTTTTTTTATCGATTATCCCGTACGCCGCGAACACGATAACGCCGCACGACGCGCGCATAACTTTGCGCACACGGCGTTACGCGTGTCGGCCGACAACACGCAGTGACACTCAGACAGCTACTCCGGTACGAAAATAGTAGCGACTGCAATGTCACCCGCGAGTACCGGTCACGATTTTATCGCGGTAGCGGCCGCCGTTGTTTTCACCGGCGCTTGTTACTAGCAGCGGTTACTGCTTCCGTAAGCGGACCGCGGTTAGCCCGAACGCATCCGGACCGAAAAGTACAATTGCACGCCGGCCGAAACGCCGAGTGCCGACGTTGTATTTTGTAATGGCCCGAATTTTAGAAAACCCCGCCCGTATATGGGCGAGTCGCACTGGAGACGGCGTAAACGTACGCGTATAACGACGCGCAGTTAACTCGTGTCGGACGCAGTCGTTGCGCGGGCGCGGCCGCGGCGGAGGTGAACGAAACGAAACGACTTGTCGACGACGACGACGACGGCGGCCTGTTGCGGACGTTCGCGGTGCTTTCGAAACCGAGCGAAAGACAGACACGAGCGGTTGTTTGTTTTTTTTTTTTTTCCTAACAAACTCCCTTACGGACCGGACACTCTGTGTGTACGGCGTACGGCGTCGCGCATCGCGGCGCGTTAATGACGATGACGACGCGCCTACGGTGTCGGACGGTAACGGAAATTCACCGGGGGAAATTACACCGGGCGCCCGAAAACCGTACGACGTGCGGCGTGCCCGCAATAATATCGTACTGCGCCGCGGGCCTGAATCGGGCCGCCGCCGGATTTCGCGGTCGAAACGCCGCGACACCGCGTCCCGCAACGATACAATAGCGTCGCGCGACGTGCCGCTGCGGACGTATGCATCGGATATGATATTTTCGAAATACCGGTGGACCGACAACGCCGCGCACGCGCGTATGGACTGCGCCGGGCCGGTAACGCACCGGACGACAATAATGTTGTCAATATAATACGAAATAATATCGCCGTCGTCGCGGACCCCCCCGGGTGACGTTCGGAACGTTATCGAACGCGGCGTAAGACAGCGCGCGTCGCGTTTAGAAACGCCGCGAATAACGCGGCGCGCGGCATTTCCCGTTCGTGAAAAAAAAAAAAAAAAAAAATCGGTTTACGGTGGTGGTGGTGGTCGTCGTTTTTTTTTTTTTTTTGCTCCTACGGCGAGCCTCACGTACGCGCGACGGTATTCGATTAACGCGTCTCCCGACGAACGGCGTACCGAGTGGGACGGGGGACGGGGGAGGGGGGAGAGTTGTTTTTCGACAAAGTCGAAATTGGAAAACGACCGTAATACAACAAACAAACAACGCGACGAGCAGCGATACGAATACGCGCGGTTCGGACCTGACCTATTATCGTTGTTATCATTACGTTTATCCGTTTGCACGTCGTCGTCGTCGTCGTCGTCGTGTAGTGATCTCGCGCGAGAATAATATTATTGTTGTTCGACAGTTTATTTATTTTTTTTTTTTCTGTAGCCGACGGTATTGTATATTATACGGTACAACTGTACAAGTAACGAACAATCGGAATTAAACGGACGACGGCGGCGGAAGCGAATTTCCATCATGGGCTCTGTATTTATTTCTCGTGACTTTTCACCGCGAACGCGTGAAAGTCGTTTTTCTAATTTTTACACGTTTTTTTTTTTTTTTTACGACCACAGAAGACGACAGGTACGGACGATTCCGAATACAAACGCGTTAGGCTATTAATAGTAACAGGCAATCTATGACCGGAGTGTACCGGACGATAAAAAAAAAAAAAGAAAAAAAGAGTTGGATGAAATCAAACACACCGGATTAAATTATAATAATGATATATATATAAATACGTATATGTATATACTTTCGTATTGTCGATTTTGTTCTTTGGCAATAACTAAATACGTTTATTCGGTTCTCTTTGTTTTCATGTTGTACAACAAATATATATATATTTGTAAATATATATAATATAAAAATAAATCATTGTACAAAAAAAAATATATATATATATATAAAAAGCTGGTATAAATAAATAAATAATATTAAAAAAAAAAAAAAAATAATAATAATAATAATAATAATGTTCCGACCGAGTTTACGGGGGGGCAAGTGCGTTTTGGTAGAATGGCGAGCGTCGGTCAGGTCGTGTACGGATGCGTAGTCGGTGTACGGTCAGTGTAAAACGTGACGAGTTTCGGTCGGTAATAAATAATTGTCAATAATGTGATTACGAAAGTACGGGTCGCCCAATACCCGCGGTTTACGGCGGTCAATGTCGGTCGTCGAGTGGGCGGTGATACACTGCACGGGGTGTTCTATTAGGTGCGCGTAGTAAGCGTAGTAAGTCAGTTAGTCGTCGTCCGTGTCGGTTAAACGTGTAATATTATTGACGGTAAATATGTAGGTAAGTCGTCTGTAGTCTTTGGCACAATATGCTTAATATAAATGTTAATACCTAATAAATCGTAACGCGTAGTCGGCGGTTTAAACGAAAATAAAAACAATAATACGTTTAGCGTTGAATGCGGCAATGATAAAAAAAAATATATAATATATTAATAATAAATAATAATTAAATAATAATTAAATAATAAAAATAATAATAATAATAATAATAATATTATATGATACGCGTTCAGTCGGTGCAGACACTGCAGCAGTGTTGTACGTGGTGTTTGTCGTGCGGGTTACCGTGTCCGGTTATAACCGCTGTATAATGGTATGTTATAAAAATAATTAACGAGTCGGGGGTGATGGTGAACAGAATTATGTATAGATGGAGGAGTTGCGAATTGATAACACGCGGATAATTATAGGTATTATTTTTATATACGTATCGCAGGATCACGTGGGTAGTGTGGTCGTTGTCGGTTTGTCACTAATTGTCAGTCGCGTCGTCGTCGTCGTCGTCGTCGTTTTCGTCTCTCGGGTAGTCGGGTTCACGTCGTAGTGCCGTGGACGGTTTTTTTTTTTAAATAACATAATAAATAATAATTGTTGGGTTTTTGTTTTTGTTTTTGTTTTTTTTTGTTTTTTGTTGTTCCGCTGTTTTCGCCGTCGTACGATGACGACGGGGTCGAGGGCAAGACCGCGGCGGCACATCGAAATTTATAATAATTCTATAACGTATTTACAAAACATCGGCTAGGCTCGTGTTTTCAGATCTGTAAACAAGAAAAAAAAAACAAACGGCGCGCATTAGTATAATACAAAACGCGGCGGTCGTTGCGGGGATCCGTATCACAGGTTACGGGTGTTCGGTTTCGGGGTGCGGTCGCAGGTTTGGCCGTACAGATTAGCAGCGTCTCATCTCTGCGCGAACGGCCGTGTCCGTTCGCCGGTCACGTTGGCGGAAACAAACGAAACCGTATCGGAATATCGCGTACCCGCCCCCGTACGCTGTAACGCCGTGTCGTCGGCGATACCGTCCACGACGTCGTTATTCCGCGGTTCGCGACAAACGGCTTAGCCGCAGGACGGTAACGTATTACGGCGCCAGCGGCTGGGTGACCGGGATCGTTTCGTAAGACCGTAGGGCACCGACAGAGCCCCGGCGAGGCACGCGGCAGAATAGATTCCGTTCGAACGGCCGCCGTGCAAAACGATTTAGCGAGAGGCCCGTTCGCTCAGCGCGGTGATTCGGAATTCAGACGGGGGAATTTCGTTCGTTGCCGTTCGGCTGCGATTCGACCGGTCGATCGGAACGAGGTCGAAAAATGGGGGACCGCGGGTGGGCGCGACGCGACGCGTAAACAGTTGAATCCGATAACGTTCGACCCGTCCAGACGGTTTGATTCGCGTGTGCGGAGGCGAAGAGAAAAAAAAAAAAAAACTGGTCGCACGCGGATGTCGGTCACGCGGCGACGGCTGCGACCGGGTGAGAACGGAACTATCGTCGTAAATAATAATAATAATTATTATTATTAACTGTATAATATTATCATAATAATTTATAATGGTATTATCGCGGACGTCGTGTCGAAAACCAGTCGGACGCGCGCCCGCGAGTTTCTCGGTCTCCGGAAATTCAAATGCACGAAGACAAAAACCACCTAGTCCCGAAAAACCAGTTTATTTTCTACGGCTTTCACTCCGATGACCGGGGGGGGGGGGGGGAGAGGGAAAAAAAAAATGATTTTTGTCGTCTATCGATTTGAAATCTCTCGTGCGACGGCACACCCGGTCCCCCTTGAACTTGCCCGACTTTCACCTTGGGCCGTTCGCGAGTCGCGGTCGTACAGGTATACGCGCGCGAAGTCATCGAACCCGCGCAAAGTCTTCTCTATAACAATATTTCGGCTCTCTCGGTTAGGTTAAAACAACATTATAATGATATTGTACGACGACGGACGCGTATCGATTTTTTTCTTTCTGGTTTCCTATCTGGTCACCACTCCCTCCCCCCCCCACCAGAATATGAAGGATCGGGGGAAAAAACCAGAAAAGTCACTTTGAATGTTATAGCGCTATAGACGATTTGTTTAAAAAAATTTATTTCATAACGGGAACGTCAATATGCGTTTCAAACATAATAATTGAATTCCGTTTGCAGCATTTCAAAGTGCAACATTTAATTGGACCCGAACTTATTACTTGGTAGAAAAAAAAAAAAAAGTAACTTTTCTATTACCCCCCCCCCTCTCCGTGTCTTTCACGCAAGACGCGTGTTATCGCGTAGTCGTGAAATCGTCTTTCGGCGCGTGCTCGTCCCGAGGCCGCCGACGAGACCGTTTTGTTTTCGTTTGTGTCGGTCGCCGACACGAAACCCGGGGGCACGGAGATAGTAAAATGTTAAAAATAACAAAACACAATAACAACAACAACACTCACCATTACATACTAATAATAGTATCTATCTGGAAGCCGGTTTTTGGTTGCCGTAGGCCAAGGACTGGGCCACGTTGTTGGAGTACGATCCGTGGGCGTCGTGACCTCCTCCGTAGCTGTCCCAGCCGGAGCTCGGGGCGCTGTACGCGCTCGGGGCGCTGTTACCGTAGCTGGCGCCGTGTCCGCTGCTGTGGTGGGTTTCGATTTGCTAAAACGCGCACAACATAAACATCGTAATTAACGGTTTGTTTTCGGCATCGGTCACTACGATTATTATTGATTTCCGTTGCAACTCGCGTACGCAGTAACAACAGGCGGCGGTTTTTTACGCCCGCGCCCGTTTGTCTCGTACGAGTCGAGTACGCGTGTGACTTACCACTTCGTGGTGAGGTGCGTGGTGTTGGCTGGCCAACAATTTCTTGATGCCGATGAATCCGGAAACGGCCAGGGAAATCAAACTGGCCAACAAGGCCTTCTTGGCGATCAAGGCGATCACGACGTACGCGAGGGCGGCGAACAGGCTAAGTTTCACTTTCAGAGCGATCAAAAACGGCATCAATTGTTTTAAGTATTTCTTGCTGTTCTTCTTCATGCCACGGCCTGTGCAATAATTATCGTATTCGTCGTAATTATCGTAAATGTTTTATAGATTATATTGAATTTTAGTGAAAAGTATTCACAAAACAAAACAAACGAATTGTGTTTATCAAGAACAAGACCCATATATTACGGGTCTTGTTCTTGTTTTTATCGATTTTTGCAAATACCGTTTCAACTAAAAAAAAACTTTGACGCCGATACTTGAAATATACTATTGAAATACTTGCATTTGTATAATAAAAAATAATTTGATGTTGAATTAATATGTATCGAGTCAAATTTATATTGTACGAAAGCACGCGAAAGGAAATTAGCGATGAAAAAAATAAAAAGATGGACGTATCATTAAGTATTGACGAACAAAAAAAAAAACAAGATATTTACCTTCTTCGAAAAATTCGGAGATTTTGGATTTGATTTGGGTCGGGATGTGATCGGCAACGCTACGGGCGGTCTGGGACACTTCGGTGACGATTGGCGACAGGTTCCAGTGCAGTGTCCTCTCTTGGAAGAAACGCGCGACCTTGTGCATGGTGAAATCCTCGAGGGCGGTTTCGCGGTGCTCGGAGTCCTTGGCGGTCTCGACGTTGTTGACGTCTTCGGCGGTCTCGGCGGCTACGGCGGCCAACGATCGGCCCTTCTTCTCGGTCTTGACCAGCGATAGTCCGCCCAAGAGTTCGATCTTGTCCTGGTCGAAGAACGACCGGACCGTCCGGAAGAGTTGCATCTGCGCGCAATCGACGGCACCGTCCTTGGTGTCGCACGGATTAGCGGGAGCGGCGGCTACGGGTCCGGTCACCGGGATCGGGTCGGCCAAAGCCAGGCAAACGCACGCCGACAAGGCCAATCCGAACTTTAACGCTAAGCCCATGACGAATTTGTAGGTATGATTTTTCTTGTATGTTTTTCTGCTGCTGCTGCTGCTGCTGCTGTTTGCTGCTGCTTGTTGTTCCGTCGAACTGCACGAGTGTAATGAAAGAACTGCGGGGCGGCCGGCGTATTTATTGCAGGAGGCTGTCAACCCGTTTTCGCTTTTAACCGCTGTACACCGCGAACACATACGCACATAGCAACTAGTCGCCGCCGTCGCCGCCGCGGACCGGACATAACATCCGCCCAGTTCGCCGTCTCCGCGCCCGCCCATTTCACCCGACTTTCTTCTCCGTCTCGTCCGAGTCTCTCTCCGGGTCCCTACTGTCTCTCTATCGCGCGTTCTCTCTCTCTCTCCCTCTCTCTCTCTCTCTTTTTATTGGCAGTCCTCCGGTGCTCGCGCCTTTCTTCGGCCGTGAACGTAGGTTTACACTCGAGCCGAATCTCGCGCGTCCGACCGACCGACACTATTATCGTTATCGTTATACCCGCACCGTCGGAGCGCAAAAAGAAAAAAATCCGTCTTCGCCGACTGTTGTAGTATAGAGTAGACTTTACAGCAGAGAGGAAAAAATAAACTTCACTTTTAGACGACGACGAAAAATCGTTTACGGGTTTTGTCCACGGGTTTTCGCCGATAGTGTCGTCTCCGAAGAGGATACCATTATAATTATTAAAACTATCCGAGATGCTACAGCACGGACGCCCGCTTATCGAAAACCTCACGATGCCGATTAGCTGTCGCGTGTTTTCACTTCGCACTGTACGATAACAATAAACGCTGCGGTAGGTTCGCGTCAGTGGACATATTTATAGAAATGATCACCGTCCTGTATAATAATATTATAGTAGGTAGACTTACTCTAACACTTCGCGATAAACTGTAACCATCCGTATTATTATTATTATTATATTGTAATGAACGTGCACAGTATTCCATGCTCCGGTTGCGCGTGCAAGTAAAACCGAAAAAACACAATTTTCGTTTTTACAGACCGTTTGACTTTTAAACGACGATTGTTTCGGTATGGTATAACCGTTTTAAATTTGCCTATACAATATAGGTACTAGCGATACGCGCGGAGTTATAGCGGTTTTAACACGTGAGTAGATCGCCTATATTTTTACCTACATTCGATTATTATAATTTTGTTTTTTTCGTGTCTGAAAAACAAGAACCGGTGACTTTAATATATTCGATACGTCTGTTTTTCAAAATCAACTATATGTAAAAGCAAAACGGGTTTTTTGTAACGTTTTCCTAAAGAATCGAACCACAGTATTACGCTACGATGTGGAAAATAGTCGCATATCGACCCCCCAACGGAAATTATCATAACTCACTTTTTTGTATAACCCATTTTGAATGAGCGTCAATAAAAAGTAATTATCTGTATAAATTACTAACGTAACGATTTAAAGAGTATTAAGAGTACTAATAATTAGGGGAAAAAATTGAATTTAAAAACTGTAGAATTAGAATTAGAATTAGAATCAGTTTAATTTTACCATTGCGAACGTTTGTATAAATCGATTGAAGAATGTTCTGAGCTTATCCAGTGTAAGGGGGATTTCGTTTGGTTTTTAAAATCGCCCGTAAAAATGATAGATTCGTTTTCGAAACCGGCCTTTTGCACGGATTTACCAGATTTAAACAAAACAAATTTACCAAACAATCGGCGTATTTGAAAACAGCTTCTGCACGAATTTTACAACTAAACCTGCCGCCGCATATGTATGGAAATCATTATATGTACAACATATCAACTTTTCGGTAATTATTTTTGTATAAAACATCTTCATGTACGCGCTCTTAGAAAGCCATTTAATGTTCCGATTTCGTGTTGACTACGAAATCTCCGAGTAAAACCTTAATCTTATAATGTTCGTAGTGAGTTGTATTGCGTACGATTGCAAAAATCGCGTGTAGCCCATCGTCTCGTATAAAAAATCTCATTGACACTGTCGCGGCACACCGGTCGATACGTGTTCCGTTTTCGTTGCGAGTGCGACGGGAACTTATAATATTGCGGGTACGCATCAATTACATTTTTGCGGTCGAGAGTTCGTCGAATGTTTCACATAAACGGATATTAAATTACGTGCGCAATTATTATTATAACGAAATGGAAACCGAATCGATTCAGAAAACGTTTCAAATAGTATCTACAATACTATCTACATATTATTATGCAATATTCTAATAATAACAATATTGTCATTTTCTAATATTATGCGGACGGTGAAATTATGTTTTTACTACGCGTATCCGAAATATCACGTGTCGCCGACGGACCAATACACATATTACAATAATAATAATATGTATATAACTACACAATATACGGTCAGTGCAAATAAATAAACGAATAGGTAGTAGTAGTTGTTTTTTGTTTTTTTTTTTTCGATTGCTCTAGGAAATTTCCTATTCCGAGTGTCCTGTTCGTATTGTGAACACAAACGTTCGTCTGGGTGGACGCACGAACGGACAATATCATGTTTGTTACTCCTTTACGCTTAAACTACTGAACGGATTGAACTGAAACGTTGCACAGATTCAACACAGAATTTAACCCCTAAAGGAGTTCTGACACAGGATTATTGGTATTTTCGGTACGAAAATCTAATTATTTTTGTTGATTTGAGAATTAACAGAAAAAAGTTAAAATAAATAGAATGTAAAAAAAAAAAAAAAAAAATCGCGTTAAGTAGGCGCGTAAGCCGTAATAGACGTCACGAGGATACGCACAACGAACAGTAGTTACCATAGAAACCGTTTACCGAATTGATTATCGGGTTGTATTTCTTATGGAAAGGGCGACGTCGCCGGTCGGGATACGACTAGCATAATATACTTCGAAAACTTGGTCTTTTATTTTTGCGTCTTTTGCGGTTTTTCCGCTTTCAGAGAATATTTTTTGTTCGTCGGTAATTTCGATAATAAATATTTTGTTATCTCGACAAATTATATTTGTCTTAGGTACATTAACTTACGATTTTTTCATTTAAGCGTTTGAAAGCGAAACTTTTATTTCGGATATTTCGTTGTTATATAGGAAAGTAATTTTGTCGGTATTTTTTCTATATTTTTTAATGGTTTTTAGGGCATTGTAACATGTTATCGTGTACAACTGTGCAACGGTAGCAGTCGGTGTCACGCAACAATATAGAAGATAACACGCGAATAAAAAAAAAAAAACCTATTACATTTGGACGGAGCCCGGAGATAAGCGACGGCCGTAGGTCGACGGAACTTTTCGAACGTTTCGTTTTCCTTTATCCTCATTGTGATGCACAGCGGCGGCATCGCGGTCGCGTATCGTCCGGGCGATATAGAAGCGATACTATCCCAAAGACCGCCGATCATCGTGGTCGCCAACAGTCATGACGTTATGTTATTATTGTGCGTAAGACAATGGGAGTCTTTTGGAATCGCGTGTTTATTATCGATTATTGTTGTCGAGTTACACTGTAGCTACTATAACGTTACAACGCGGCGGCGCGTATCGTTTTCACTTAATTGTTTTAGCCGGAAGGCTAGCGCCATCGCCCGAGGCGCCCCGGGCCGGTACCGTCTTTTCATATGTTGCCGTCGACATTTGCCCAATTGTTCGGAGGATCGAAAAAACGCGAGACAACACAAACGCCGTTTCGTCGCGGCGCAGCAGTACGGAACGGAGCACAGGTTGTATTCCGAACGGAACGAAGAATGTGTATTACTTTTACTATATTATGACGTTTGATTTTTTTTTTCCCCGTCAATAAATAAGTTTTTGACCTGAAGACTCGCTCAGTTTGACGATTCTGCCAGTGGCGTACCCGCCGCACGCTGGATTTTAAAAAAAATGGGTGGACGGGGCTAAACACTCGGACGAAATGAAAATCGTACGAAATAATTCTGGAAAAGTAAATTATCTAAATTTACTTTATGTAAAGCCTTTTTTTTTGAGGTTATTTTGTAAAAAATACATAACTGTGTTATATAGGTTGGTTCAATTATTATTCGTATATAAACTATTCGATGGGTTAGTTATAATTATTTGTTTGTATTTTAACACGGCCAATAAGGGAAGGGGGAGAGAAACTCAAGCCCTCTTAGGCACCTTGGATATTACCATTGGGTTCCAAATAACATCGTTTTTCGTTTGCGATGATTTTTTTTTTTGCAACAGCAGCAGTATCAGGATCAGTTAGGAGAAGATGCACGCAAATGCGCTTTATTAGGTATGTGTAGAAGAGCGATAAAAAATTATACGATAATAATTTGTTTTTTCTTTATAATCGAATAATAATATTATTATATCTATCCCGAGCGTGCCGGAAGTTTCACTTTTTCCGATCCCCCAATGCATTCCGTCCGTCACTCTCACATTTTTAACGATCCGTTTTTAATACATATAGTGAATCCAAACAATTCTGTAAATACTGTGCGGCTAATGGACGGACAGGAATCGTCTCGTGCGTGAGCAATGACCGGATCCGGTCGTTAAAGTCTCTCTACAGACAAGACATACTGCCGTGCCTACTATATGTTGCAGACTGCAGTAGGCATCTACCTACCGGTCGGATACAATTTCGTAAACGCACCAACAAATCGAATATCCTATCCTTCAGAAATCAGAAGCCCACGCAAGTTTATATACAGAAGCGTTTTTTCGAACACGTTTTAAACAAAACTATTTACGTGTGAAACATTATTATCGCGATGAGTTCGTGATTTGTACGTACGTACGTACACCTAATATCCAGCTAGTAGTGTTGACGTGGCAGCGATTATTTCTATCCACGATTTTTCGACTAAGACTCGGAAATTAAGTTACGCGTTTTAAACAAATTTAAAGGATAGATAAATGAAATGGTAAAATATTATCGTTGTATTTCAGTAGTCCTGCATATGCGTCAAAGAGAGAACAAAAACTGTAAAACATTTAAATTTCCAGCAAGTTAGGTATATAATAATAATAATAATAATAGTGATCATTCACGTTTTGGCCGGAGTACTTGTATGTGATATATGATGACGATTAATAATAAGATTTTAGAATCCAGAATTCGAGATAAACATTATTTAAATATTATACGTGCGTAAAAACTTTCGCTACGATAGGTCAAGAGGCCATTTACACTCGCGTATAGCTTGCCGGTAATACATCGCGCGCGTATATACCTAATACCCACCGTAAAAATAACGACTCATAAGCAGGTTTTGTATTAAAATAATACACGCGCTCTATGGATACCGCTTTTCATTATTATTATTATTATTTATCAATAATTTAATATCTATATATTTATACGTTCAGGATTACCTATATTTTTTTAGGTCGTACACCTTGGCTTTGCAGAAATAATAATGACGTTCAAATTCGGACGTGTTGTTTATTCGAGAAGGTCATTCGGATATTATTATAATATTATACACTACATAGATATATTTATTATTTGCAGTGGAGTTCTTATCATTTTTTTTTTCGTGGTTTATACTGTTATCATAGATATGAATTAAAGAAAAATGAAATTTAAACTACCAAAATAAAACATTAAAAAACTTAACAAAAAAAAGGACGGACATACTCGCACCTGGGTGCAGCTACTGTTGTAAGTGGGTGAGAAGTTAGGAAGGTAGGATACAGACGGAAATTAATGTATATCTGTAAGCAAAAATAAACTATTGCTAATGAAAAAACGAGTCTGAGGGGAGTTTAGTTGATAGTGTTACTTTGTCAACAATATAATATACATGCCATGTTATGGTAAAATGATAACAATAATTTGCGTTTCCATGACAACCATGATTGTTTAAAAAAAATCAAAATAACAAAAACTTAATAATAACAAAATAATAAGTAAAAATGGTTGCCAATGATCACCTTATTTTTTTAATCTTTCAATCTTTTTTAACCTAAAGAATCATGTTTTTCTCATTATCTCGAATATTAATGACGATTTTAAATATTGACCTCTTAAAAGCACCAACAACTAATACATTCTTCGCTAAACTCAGAAACATCTAAAATGTTATTTTAAATTGTAAGCTTTTTTTAGAAACTATTTGAGCGTGTATGTAGTATATCCTATGGGTGAACCACTAGGTATACGTTTACCGTGAAATTGTAAATACAAGTCGATATTTCATGAAGTTTTTTTTTTTTAACCATGCCTTTTAAACAATATTAAA